ATGAAACAAATAAAAGTCACTTGTGCTCTTAACTGAGAAACGTGTACTTTCTGACTAAAAATATATTTCTATGTATTTGAGCATTTATATCTTTCAAGGGTATAACGTTTATTTTTGTTCTTCGGTGCAATCCGAAAAATTCCCGCGCTTTTGAGAGTTATTGACTTTAATTTCAGCGTATTTTTCATTTAGGTCTAACCTGAGAGTTTGAGAATAAAAGGCAATTTACGTCTTGTATATTTAGTGCTAATATCCGCGAATAATTTCTGTTGAAGCTTCGGTGTTAAACAATCTTTTGTGGTTAGTCTAAGTGACGTAACTCTGAAACGGTGAAACGAAAATCATGATAAATATCCGTACTGAGAGAAGTAGTCCGCTCGTCTCCGGATCGAACCCTGGCCGGGGACATTGTGTTGTGTACGTTCTTGGGCAAGACACTTTACTCTCACATTGCCTCTCTCCACCCAGGNTCTGAAATGGTGAAGAACTTCGCCGAATTAAACGTGAAACGAAAATCATGATAAATATCCGTACTGAGAGAAGTAGTCCGCTCGTCTCCGGATTGAACCCTGGCCGGGGACATTGTGTTGTGTACGTTCTTGGGCAAGACACTTTACTGTCACATTGCCTCTCTCCACCCAGGTGTATAAAGGGGTGCCGGCGAATTTAATGCTGGGAGTAACTCTGCAAAGGACTAGCATCCCATCCAGGGGGGAGTAGAAATGCTCCCAGTCGCTTCGAGCTACAGAAATCGGGATAAGCTGCGGCCTGATGGGCCACTTTTCTCGCTGCAAGACTTTACCTTTACCTTACTGAGAAAAGAGGAAACACTGATGACAAACCTCTCGCGGTCTGCTTACAACTTAACAGTAGAGAAGCCGTTTCAGGAAAATAACACCGAATTCCAATTCTTGCGCGCCGCGGCTTTTCCCCTGTCACTAAGGTCAGGTTTTAGCGATCTACTGCATAACTCAAGGGCCCGGATAAGCAACAGAGACGGCGGAGTGTCACAGTTTAAGACATTTATGAAAAATGAACATTTTCTTTGCAATTAGGGATAAAATGCTTCAGAATTATGATCACTGACCATTTTGCGACTCAAGAAAAAAGTATTAAATGGTCTGAAATGAATGTCAGACACATCCCCTAGCTTTAGAAAACTGCAACAACTTATTTCAAAAAACATAAAATTTAAGC